CTTGTTTGATCGACTGATGATGTTCAAATTTTGCTTTGTGGCACAAAAGAATTATAGAAGTATTCCTCGTGGTATGATCATGTATTGGAGAAGTGTTAGACATTCAGGCAGTGAAGTTGAGATCAGATATGGTGATTCGTGTGTTCTATGGATTTGGAGACTGGGAGTTCTCCTGAGTAGATTGTTTCGTGGTTGTGGACTGTAAAAACATAGCCAAGGTTAGTCAGAAGATAGTATGTGTTGTGATTCAGTTATTGTGAACTTCCGGAGGGTTATTTATCTATTGTGAGTGATGAGAGTTGATTTGGGGTTCATTGGTAGGCCTAATATAGATGTGTGTTCTGCACCAAGACGGATTGGTTGGCTACATACTGCCATTGTTGAGGGATGTTCCATTCGATTGTTGTTAAGCTTATTCGTGTTCTTAAATGATTTGTGAATTACTCTTCTATGCCACGAGGAGTTGGGATTCATTGGTTATATGCACATATGGTGCGGTTCTATTTGAGCTTTATAGCAGAATTTGAGCGAGATGAGTATTTGGGTATTGCATTATTGATTGCGCATTGGCTATGTTCTTTCCGAATTGTAGTATTATGTTATCTGCTCTCTGTGGTTATGGTAATGCACTTTGGGTACTTGATGTCGAATTTCGCGTGGTTATTGATTTTGAGCAAGGTAGCTCGAGGTATATAATAACAACCAGCGTTTGGATGGGGTCACGCATTGCAGCGAAGTTATGTTGAGATATGATCCTTTGTGTTGGATTCGTGTGTTTTGGTTCTACGGTGTGTGCTAGGCTCTTAGCATGGTGTTGTGATGGTACTTGTTAAGCTGGTGGCACAACGCTCTCGTTTGAGGCATTTTCAGGATTGAGTACATTTGGAATGTTTCTATTTGGTGCACGTGCTGTGGATTTAAGTTGTATTGATGTGTCATGTCACTAGAGTGATTATGTTCGATGGGATGAGGTCATCGTACTAGAATGGGTGCTATCGGATCTGATTGCGGTATATTTGGAAGGATATTGATGCTGATCGGCTTAGAAATTTGTTATAGTTCCTATCGAAGGAGAGGGAATTCCACAACTTGTTGATCTGGTGAATGGTTATGAGTTTCTGCGTGTGTTCTTTCATCATTGGCAGTATATGAAGGTGTTAGAACGAGGCTTTGTTTGATAAGAGGTTTATTGCCGGCATTGGGTTGTTTTGAGCAGCTATTGCAATTAGAAATTATCGCTATGAGTGTTTGAGTTATGTGGTATATCACGTGATTTCATCTTGAGTTATGGCTATGACTAGATTCAACTTGTTCAGACTTATACAGTGTGTAGATACGAGATTCTGATCTTATCGAAAATTTCGGATGTGGAATTGGATTTTAAGGCTTATGGGCTAGGTTAGATTACGAAATTTCAGTCATGTTGTGTTATCAGACCTATATGGGATAGGGTGACGTGGGATCACCCCCAGGTATGTGCATGGTAAGGTTACGCGGCGATTTGATGGCTTTTGGAACAACTCTGGGCACGTTCGAGGACAAATGTATGTTTATGTGGGGGAGGATGTAACGACTCGACCGGTCGTTTTGAGCATTTGCACTTCGCTCGGTTGTTTGAGGGCATGAGTAGCTCCATAGGATGTATTATGACTTATGTGAATCGTCGGTTTTGGCTTTCAGGTTATTCAAAATTGATTTGGAGGAATGATTCTCAATAAGAAGCTTTAATTTGAAAAGTTTGACCAAGTTTTGACTTTTTAGTATTTGACCTCGGATTAGATTTTCTGATGGTTCTATCAGCCTCGTTGGGTGATTTTGGACTTAGTAGCGCATCCGGATTGTGGTTTGGAGGTCCGTAGTAGAATTTGGCTTGAAATGTCGAAAGTTGAATTTTGAAAAGTTTGACCGGGAGTGGATTTTTTGATATCGGGGTCGGATTCTGATTCCGGAAGTTGGAGAAGGTCCGTAATGTCAAATGTGACTTGTGTGCAAAATTTGAGGTCAATCGGACGTGATTTAATAAGTTTGGGCATCGGTTGTGGAAGTTGAAGTTTCAAAGTTCAATGATTTCGAATTAATGTGTAATTCGTCGTTTCGATGTTGTTATGCGTGTTTTGAGGCTTCGAGTAGGTCCGTGTTATGTTATGGGACTTGTTGGTATATTTGGACTGGGTCCCGAGTGGCTCGGGTGAGTTTCGGATGAGGTTCGGATCATTTTCATTCCATGTTGCATTACTGAAGATTTTTTGGTTCTGGTATAACCGCAATTGCAGAGTGTTGAGCGCAGGTGCGGAGCCGTAAAAGCGGCAGTACAATCGCAAAAGCGAGAAAGGGAGCTGGGCGTGTTGATCGCAGGTGCGGGTGCTTGGACGCACCTGTGCAACCGCATATGCGGTTCAAGTGCACAGAAGCGCGATCGCAGAAGCGGCTTAAGGACCTCAGGTGCGAGGTTTTGCTGAGTGAGGTTGTTTCACATAAGCGAGGAATTACCGCAGAAGCGGTGGTCGCAGATGCGATAATTTGACCACAAATGCAGAATAGCTGGGCAGAGTTATAAAAATCGAGGTTTTGGTTCTTTCTTCATATTTTGAGATGTGGGACTCTGATTGAGGCGATTGTTGAAGCAAATTTCATCACAAGGATTGAAGTAAGTGTTCTCTACTCAGTTTTGATTATATTTCATGAATCTATCTTCGATTTTAGCAATTGATTGATGAATTTTAAAGAGGATATTGGGGGTTTTGGCCTAAAGTATCATAATATGAATTTTTGAGTTTTGAACGCCGATTTGGAGTCGGATTTGAGTGAAACTAGTATGGTTGGACTCGTAATTGAATGGGTTGTCGGATTTTGTGAGTTTTATCGAGTTTCAAGGTGTGGACCCCAATGTGATTTTTGGTCGGATTTGGGATTTGATGTAGAATTTGATCTTTATCATTTGTAATTGCTCCCTTGGGCTTTATCTGATGTATCTGAGTTGCTTTTGGCTAGTTTTAAGCCGTTCGGAGGTCGCTATGCGCGTGATGGCATTTTCGGAGCATCGCTTGGCTTGCTCGGTGTTGGAATTGGCTTGTTCAAGATAAGTAACTCTTTTAAACTTAGTGCTGAGGGTATGCAACCCCAAATTACATGTTGTGTGATTGGTATCGTGGTGACGCACATGCTAGGTGACGGGTGTGTGGGCGTGCTCCCTGTGAGTTGTGATTCTATTGTTTCCATGGCACTGTATAGTGGCCCTATTTTCGTTGATATCTGTGTTTTCACCATGTGATAAAGTAACTGAGCTGTCAATCATGCTAGATATCATGTTTAGGCTTTGTGTTGATATTGTTAGGACCTATAGAGGTCTTTGCTTGTTATCATCTCACTGATTTCATTGATATTTCGTACTCAGTCATATTCATGCATTCATATCATATCTCAGTCTCAGCTGTTACTTATTGATACATCATATCATTGTTCCGGGTCAGTGTTTATGACATTGTGAGCCCGTGGGTGAGACTGGAGAGATTGATGACTGAGTGAGGCCGAGCTGATTATGAGTGACAGTTATGGGATCGGGTTGCACGCCGCAACGGTTATATTGATGATTATGATAGCGCTTGGGCTACAGGAGCCCCTCCGGAGTCTGTAACATACCCCCAGCGAGCACAGATGATACTATTGAGGAATGGATTTCCCTAGACATGGATTTTTCCAAAGTACTTACTACCTGGAGAAAACATGGTTGGATTGCCCTTTTTTCTCGGTACTGGGTGACTTATAGTCAGTGTTGTATATGTTCCGGGATGGATTTTCCTGAGTCGTATGGGCCATATACAGTACCGAGTGGTTGAGCATGATGAGTGGAAAGTGCAAAGCAGTGAGATTGAGTACTCTGAGAGTGTGAGTACATGATTCATCTCTGAGATACATGGCATTGGCATGCACACATGACATACATGCATAGAGACGCATTTTCCTCATGTTGTACAGTATCACATCATTCATGACTTTTACACACATTGATATGTGAGCATATAGAGGTATTTCACACTTGCTAACTGGTAAAGAAATGAAACATCTTACTTATTTTGGAAAGGATTTTTGGAAAAATTTATAGTTTTCAAACTATCTCATACTTTTCGATGATTTCAGTAAAGGATTTGGGTTTTCACTATTATTCTTGAAAAGCGAAACTATTTTCGGGAAATTGTGATAAAGTTGAGCATTTTATTTCTGAATTGCTTCCTTATTTATATGCTCTACATTGTTATAAATAGTTGTTGGCTATTGGTGTTGGACCCGAACATATTCCAACTCGTCATTACTTTCAACCTAAGGTTAGGTTTGTTACTTATTGAATACATGGGATCGGTTGTACTCATACTACACTTTCTGCACATTGCATGCAGATTTCGGATACCGATGTTGCTATGTTCGATGGGAGCTGGATTAGAAGATATACCTGCGTTCCTGTTGTAGCTGCCTCTTGTTCATAGTAGCCTTAGATTTTAAAACTCTGTTTATGTACTTTTCAAAGAGAAAGTGTATTTAGTTCATATGAGCTTTGTAAACTCTATTTTTAGAAGCTCGTGATTTGTACTAACAGTCCTTGGGGAATGTATAAGATTAAGATAATTCATTTATTTAATTGTTTTATTAAAAAGTTAATTGAAATTGGATAGTTATTAGTTAGCTTACCTAGCGGGTTGGGTTAGGTGCCATCATGACTAGTGAATTTTGGGTCGCTCATGTTGGCCCGAATTAATTAAATGTTCTAGGCCTCTGTAACTTAAAATGCACTAGGAATACATGGAAGTATTCAAAAATATCTTAAACAAACATCTGAACAAATGACACGTATGGATATTGTTCCTTAAAGGCATGCTCTCTATCCAGTTCATTTATCTCGTTAGTTCATCAAGAAATAGGCATGTCACAAGTTCAAAGTATCTAGATTATTAGCTAAACCAGTTTGATCGGTGTTATCACTAAGTGAAATTATATTTAAAGCATGATATCTAACTGATAGCTATATATATTAACCATTCAAAATAAACAAACAGAAGCATGGATTCCAGAGTTATCAACATTAATATAGACTTGTAGAGGTGAATCAAATCCTATAATCATGGTGTCTAGGTGTTAAACATGAACCTTATTCTCTAAGTAAACTTTGAAACATCAACCCGTAAATCTTTCCCTTCCCAGGCAACTCCAACTTGACCCAAGAGTTGATCTATGGCGAAAAATTCTTTAAGTTAAGACCCCTGCAAATCATAAATCATACAAAGACATACCAGAAGAAACAGGCATCTCGAAGAGATTCACCACAGAAATCAGACTCTAACTTATTATTTCCTAAAAGCATGATATCTGATGAAATTTGGCTTATATCAATTATAGAACACAAATGCAGCACTGGCTTATAATTACTGGCTCTCAAGATATTAATAACAATATATAAGACACTTTTAAGTTAATAAGTATCATAATGACATGATATCTAGGCTTAATTATTCATTGAGGCATGTTCAGGTAGTATAGATTTTACAATAGCAAGGAAGATTATAAGCAAAATTTGGGCAAAATTCGTAAGTTATATCACTACACCTGGAATCTACCACTTCAAATTCATTAGTTCGAATCTAAACGTAGGAAACGAATTACTGGTAACAAGATCAAATCACAGAGAGCGAGCATACATCTTTTAGGCAGAATCTTTTCATTTAAAGAAGTACCAGATTAATCTTTTTGGTCCTAAGGGCATGGTGTTCTAGGTGAAATACAGAAACTCAAATATGTACTAAACATTAGCCAAACATATGCACGTACATAAATTTATTATATATTTAGTTACGCCTCCGTCATGATTTCTAGTTGACAGAATACTTTGAACAAATCCGAACGGGTCAAACTGATGATAATTCTACGGTCAAGTTCTTAGCGCACCAGAACCACAATGCAAACGGTGTCAAGCACATAATGGGGTTTAAAAGACGCACCCGGGAATTTAATCTTGGCATGCTTTGAACAGAGTGCCGCATGGTACTCGGCATGGCCAAGAGTATACAAAACACACAAATAGAGTAAAAGAAAAAATAAAAATTAAAGAGGAGAACTAGTCTATTCTAACAACAACCAGCACACAAAGGGATCGAAATGCGTCGTTCAGGGAACTAACGAGGTACTGTTCAGGGAACTAACGAGTGACGGAGTACCGAATTAATAAGAAAACCAGGAATCCAAATAAATAGCTCGCGAATAGAGTTTCGACAACAGAATAAACCCAACAATTATAGCGATGAACTTGGAACAGCAGCAACAAGAAAGAATCCGAATATCGAGAGGAATGAAAAGCAACAAACTTTGCCATGACTTACAGCCGGCAAAGCAAGAATAGAAAGGCAACTCGTGTAACAGATCTCAATAAGAAGGTTATAATGGTTGTCAATAATAGTCAGAAGTCCCCTTTCGATGCATAGAATATATCAGTATTTATAGTTGTGAATTAGTCTTAGGACATGTATCTAGCATGGAAAAGAATCAAATAAAACAGTGTATCAAATAAATAAAAAATTTGGATTGCTAAGCAAGGATTCGGGGATTAAAGCGAAATTGGAGTACTAAAAAATGAACCGTTGGTAATTAATTCAAATGAAATAGATTATGATTATTGGAAAACTTCGCTTTACATAATCAAATTATGTATTTCTACATAATCAAAAAATTAGAAGAGAATATTGACAACTGAATTTCCAAAATTGCTATCCAATCGATAAGAAAAACTGAAGAATGGGTGAAGCGCTTACCTCGAAAACTATCCATATTCATCTAATTGATTTGAACCTACGGATGTCGAAATGGAAAGAAGAGCATGCAAATCTTCAATCATGACAGCAATTTAGACTAAAATTGGGGCAAAAATCTTGGCTCCCAATCGCAATTTCTTTATAGATTTTGAAGAGGAAAAGAATTGAGAAAAGAAAGTTAAAAACAATATTTTAAAAAAAGGAAACAAATCAAAGAATTGGGGGAAGGTGTTGGCGAGTTGCTGGCGAAATCGTAGGGGGGAGACGATGGTTGCATTTTGGGATTTTTAGGAATAGGAGAAGTTAATTGTTTGAAGGCTAAAGGTTATTAGGGGAATTGGGCTTTGCCGCTTTGGATGTTTGCTGGCAAGGTGAATTTGATTGGGTCTGGGGTTCTAATTGGGTTGGGATTTGATGGTAGAATGGGTTTTGGGCTTAATTGATTTTTGGATTAGGTGTGAGATTGATAATTGAGCTACTATTAAATTAAAATGTCATAGTAATGATAATTAATAAATAAAAAATGAGATACATGAGGTTGAAAAATAAATATTATATAATAGAAATAGTTGAACAAGCTAAAAATAAATTATAAATATTTATGTTTAACCGAAAAATCGGATAACGTTAAATTTAGATATGGTTCTAAGGGTATGCAAATTTCTTTGATACAAAATGACAATATAGGTATTTTTTGCTATGAAATAGAAAATGATAGATGGGAAGACTGAAAAATATTAGAAGAACAAGCACAATGAAATCTTAATGTATCTTGGAGGGCCTCCCTCTATTGCAGTCTATCTCCCTTTTTATAGTAGAGGGTCACTACTTTATCTATAACAACATAATAAATTAATACATATAGTGTAGAACCCATGATGGTTTGTCTCTCCCTTGATTCTCGCCAAGATTCTCTCCCTTGGTGCGGTTGTAATGGCTCTTGTCTGCAAGCTTGGCACTGACTCGAGCTTGGTGCTAGATCGAATCCCCAGTCTTAGTTCGAGCTCGGTTCTGCCTTGGAGCATCGATATTTGGGGCCTGTGTCGATCGGCATTACCCGTAGTCCGATTCGGACACGGGCTCGATAATGATATCGAGTTTTGCCGTTGATTGGTCTTATAGCTTGAAGCTCGACATCTCTACTTCGGAATTCGTCCGAGCTCGCCATGCGGATACCCTTCGATTGAAACGTCATTGTCTTAACCGGTCTTTATGACTGAGAATCGATTTTGACCGTACACAGATAGTTCCCTCGTTTCTCGGAAAGGATGTGGCGAGGAACGATATGATTTCCCGGCGGCTCGATCAAATTTATGCCGACGTTTCTATCGAACCCGATCTCGACGTATGTGATAGCTGTCCCATCGGCTCGGTTTTACCGAGGCATTTAATGTGTGTCAGACGGTGGTCGGCCACCGCTGATACCGAACCGTCAGGCCTTAGTCTATAAATAGTCTTTCCACACAACTTTTACCATTTTTGCGCCTTCTCTTCTTCCAAACTTTCCTATTTATCCTCTCTACTTCGCTGCTACGGTCCGGGGCCGTCCATACCAGAATTTTGGTGCTGTCTATTTCTTCCTTTGCACTCTTTCCTTTCATATCAATGGCGAAAACTTCCAAAACCGTACCTCAGAAGAAAACAACCTCTTCCTCACGGCCGTCTGATGATAAGGCGCCGGCGGAGCCGTCAGTTCATGACTACGTTCCTGGCCCGTGCATTTTGAAAACTGATTTTAAGGTGGAGAACCCTTCCTCCGTTCCGGGTTGATGCAAACACGTATTGATCTATACATGCTTTATAACGGAGGATCACCTCGAGGCCGTCCGAAAAGACTGCAACTGGGGTTCTGAGGTCGTGTTGCAAATTTCGTCTTCCGATGAGGATGTTACCACTTACGTTGAGGGGTTTTTAAGTGTTTACACTTATCCCTTCACACTGGGACCTGTCGACCCGGTGATTATTGATTTTTGCAAAAGGTATCAAGTCACCCTTGGCCAAATCCATCCCTCTTTATGGCGTATAGTGATCTTATTGCGCTTCTTCTCTATCAAAGCCGGGGGGTTGGATTTTTCTCTGAACCACCTCATACGACTGTATCGGCCTCAGATCTTTCGAGGACTAATCAGACTTCATCATCGGGCATCGAAGGCATTGATGTCGAGCATCGATGAAGACAAGGATCAAGGTTGGATGGGTCGTTATATCCGAGTGAGGACCCGTGATCTCATTCCGGAGGAGAAGATGTCGTTCCCTGAAGAATGGAATTTTGACCGTAAGTGATTTTTGTTCACTTTTCAGGTGCTTTTTCTATTTTTTTTGATGTCCTTCCCTGATGTTCAGCTTCCCCTTGGATGCCACAAGCGGTGCTCGACCTCGAGGACTGGGTTCGGAAGTTGGCCTCGACCTCCTCTTACGCCGAGCGCACTTGGCGTGATTTGGCAAAAGGCAGATGGGAGGCCAAGAACCATGGTGAGGTTTGCTTCTTGTTTCCTTTGAAGTATTCTTTGCATTCTATTCGTTACCAATTTCCTCTTGTGCAGGCATAACCAGGGATGCCGCTTTGAGGCCTTCGAGCGGCGAAGAAGGAAACAAGTCACTGGTCCCTAAACATAGGGAAGATAAGAAGCGAAAAGCTTCCTCTCGGTCAGAGGACCCCAAGCCCAAAACTCGCAGGGTGAAGAAAAAAATAATTGCCCTTTCGATTGACTCGGTCCAACGACTGAGAGAAGAAGAAGAAGAAAATAGCTCCTCGGCTTTGGTAGTCCGGTCTATGGAGGCCATCGAGGTTGCCAGAGCTCCCGAGCCGATGGTGGTTGTGCCTGTCGGGGTTGTTTCTGAAGACCATAATCTCGACCGGAGTACTCCGTGCGATTTGCTTGGGGCTATGACAATGGGTGATTCACCTTCTCTTCCATCTTTTTCTGAGGAGGCGCTGAAAGAAGCTCGAGAATTGAAGACTCCCGATATCGGCGCAGGCTCTGGTGCAGGGGATCCTTTTAGGGATTGTTTTACTGGAGTCGACGATGGTTCCGATATCGGCGACGCTTCTCTTTTATTAGAGGAGGCTCAGCATTTCATTATTCGGGTAATGATTCTTCCATACTTCGTTTATTTGTTTTTTTTCCATACTTGACTCATGTTTCTTACTGTGCAGACCATTAGTAGGTTTCGAGTCGATCTTAGCCAGTGTGAGGCCGAGCTCCGGAAGGTCTCAGGTGAGAGAGATGCCCTGCGGCTTCTTTGCAGCCAAAAGGACGAGGCTATAAAGGACCTCCAAGCGGATTTAGCTAAGGTCCATGAAGAAGGGGTCAAGCTCGATAAGCAGGTGAGCCTCGTTCTGTTAAAGTATGGGTCTGACTCAATCGTGGAAGTTAACCTTTCGTTGTCTCAGTTGCAGCAAAAGATCGAAAAGATCGGGTTACTTCGAGAAGAAGTCGATCAAATCCGAGCTGAATGCAATCGGTGGAAGGAGACCCTCGACCGCCTGGCAGCGGAAAAAGAGACCATCTTAACAAAATTATTATCGACAGACGTTCAACTTCGAAGTGTCAAGCAAAAGGGGTCGGTTCAAGCAAAGAAGATTGAAGGGCTTGAAACACGACTTGCTGAGGCTAAGGCGGAGGTTGAGTCGTCGAAAGTCTTGGCGGATAAGTCCATTGTTGTATATCAGGCTGATGCTGAGGCTGCTCAGATGGATGCCCGGGCAGCGGCGAAGGTCGCCGATACTCGAGCTCATTGGGTTGCCGAACTTGCTAAGTGT